ATAATTTTTTTAAATTCGGTTGATTAGACTTAGCTTTATATGCGATCAAAGTTATAGATCTTTGATCGCGTATAAAGCTGGGTCTAATCAACCAAATCTTAAAAAATTATATAAGAAATAGGGGTAGAAAAAACTGAGAAATATAATAAAATTAGAAATAGATCGATATCTTCAAATTTGCGGAAGTTGGAGCAAGCTCGGACATCAAATCTGCACATACGTACATATATACGTACGGACATGCGATTTTAATGCAATGTTTCGACATTTTAGAATACTCTGAACATATTAACTTAAGCAAATTTGGAGATATCTATCTATTTCTAATTTTATTATATTTTTCAGTTTTTTCTACTCCTATTTCATATATAATTTTTTTAAATTCGGTTGATTAGACTCAGCTTTATATCCGATCAAAATTATGGATTTTTGGCGCTCCTCTACCTCGTGAGACGCTCCTTTGCCTCGCGAGATGCTTCTCTTGCCTCGCGAAACACTCCTCTACCTCGCGAGACGCTCCTTTGCCTCGCGAGGGAAGCTTCCCTTGCCTCGCGAAACCCTCCTCTTATCTCGCGAGACGCTCCTTTGCCTCGCGAGATGCTTCCTTTGCCTCGCGAATCCCTCCTCTTATCTCGCGAGACGCTCCTTTGCCTCGCGAGATGCTTCCCTTGTTTCGCGAAACCCTCCTTTTATCTCGCGAGACGCTCCTTTGCCTCGCGAGATGCTTCCCTTGCCTCGCGAAACACTTCTCTACCTCGCGAGGTGCTTCGCTACTTAGCTTTATATGCGATCAAAATTTATACAATATATAAATTGCATCTATGCATACAAGACAATATTTTCAAAAATTTGACTTACACCACTATGGCTTTTACCCGTCCATATGTAACATTATTTATAAGAAAATTATATTGTAATAAGGAATTATAAGGAAACGTGTAATAAATTTGAAATTGTATGATACTAATGCCGGATATATTATACGAAATCAACATAAGACGATTTCTTAATAGATAATAACGGTGTTTATTCTTTATCTATAGAATTTCACATTTTAAAAATTATCGTTAATTATTATAAATTTCACATAAATGTGAAGGTTTGAATCAACGCTCAAATAATAGCTTCTTGCTTGCAAAATTTGACATTTATCTGAAAATTAAAATTATAAAATTACGATTATATTTTTCAAAATTATGAGATACAAAGTTCGTAATAATTTTGAAGAATGTAATCTTAATTTTGTAATTTTAATTATCGTAATTCGTTATTAATTGGAATACGCAAGATGGAAGCGCGGCCGCCGCGGCCAGAATATCCCCTCCAGCTGGCTAGTTCGGCACGAACCTAGCACGGACGCAAACCATGTGCGGTTACCGAGCGATACGACGTAGTTGAGTTGCATTTTCTCAGGCGGCGCGTCGGAAAATGCAACACAGCAACACACGAAAAAGGCCGGGATGGCCTCTCTCAGGTTTCTCTCTGACAAGGCTGTAAAAAATAGACCAATCACAGTCGATTATTCTCCTCGCGCTTGAAGAATAATCGAGTGTGATTGATCTACTTTCTTATGGTCTTACGATTTAAAATTAAAACTTTATTACGTGCAATGGCCTTAAGGCTGAGTTTCCACTGATCGCGTCACGCGTTGCGTCATCCGAGTTAACCAATCAAAACAGGATCATTTTGATCCTGTCACAAGTAATGTAATAAAATGGGATGTGTTGATTGGTTAACTTGTGATGACGCGACGCGTAACGCGCTCAGTGGAAACTCAGCCTAAGAGTAGTAAAAAAGTGAAGCAAAGTTAAAGGTTAAGTATATTCAAAGTTGTTTTGATGCTTGACACTTCATTGGAATAAAAGGCCAATAAATATAAACAAAGTACGAATTTGTATCTCGATATATATAAACTGTCATAAATTATTATATTTACATGCATGCAATTTACAATAATAAAACCAGTGTTTATAGAGAAGAGAAAAAGACTCTTGCCCTTTTTACATCAATTGAAACAGGGAACGTCAGCTTATATGCTTATCTTGTAGCCTATCCTTATTCCAATATTCTATAGTTCTGTAGTTATCAGTATCGCCAGTAT